ACGTGAATAAGTCGCAGTAATTAGCATCAATTGATGCAAAAGACAGACAGACAGACGGACAGACAGACAGACAGACGGACGGACAAGAGGAATTCAATAGCTCCTCTGCTACGCAGGGCGAGCTAATAAACCGTTGTAACGGTAGAAGTAGCTCACCCTGTAATAACCATTTTGGTATAATTTTATACCAATGGTACAGAATATGCGGAGAAAATGAATACGCAATTTTGGCAAAATTTTACATCAATGGTGCAGAATATGCGGAACAAAGATATATGTAATTGGGATATAATTTTGCACCAATGGTGCAAAATACACGAGGGAAGAGAAACCATGATTTTGACATAAAACCTTAAAAAATTTGACGTCAAAATCATAGGTGTTTCTGACGGTTCTTCTGCACTTTTGGTGCGTTTAGCATCTATTTTCTCAATTGTTTCGCACCATTTCGAGTCTCCGATTGTTCGATATCAGTGGTGCTAATAAGTCGGTCAGGAATGCCAATAACTGGCTCTAATTAGCATGAATTGATGCAAAAGAGTCGTTAACAGACAGACAGACGGACAGACAGACGGACAGACAGACGGACAGACAGACGGACAGACAGACGGACAGACAGACGGACAGACAGACGGACAGACAGACGGACAGACAGACGGACGGACAAGAGGAATTCAATAGCTCCTCTGCTACGCAGGGCGAGCTAATAATTAATTGATGAATTATTGGCTGTAATTTGGATTGATAAGTTTAAAATTTAATTATTAAACTCTCTGCTTGGAAGGAAAACTGCAAGTCCAAAGTAAATAAATCGAAAGACTGGAACAAAATAATGGCGGAAGAATGGTGCTTGGTGATGATTTAGGGATGTCTGGAGGATAACTTATGTAGTGCAGCCGTACAGCACGAAATGATGTTATGAAGATGTTTTGAGGATGTGTATGCGCTATCTTTTGAGAATACATAAATGAATTTTCTGAAATGATCAGAAGATCTTCGTGAGATAGCTTGAGGATGTCACTTATTTACATCGCAATGATGTTTATGGCGGATAAGACTATGGTCGATCCAGAAAGTACTGAGCTACGGAATTCTCGGGAGGCTAAATGGCCGACCTCGCCATAAGCAATACCATGTAGAGTTTGAAAATTCACGGTACGGTCAGTTCTTGACCGATTTTCAAAACTCCGCCCGTTTTGGAAACACTGAACCCTTGCGCGAAATATATAATTCCGGATTTTTGAAATTCGGCCCCACCCCCTCGTTATCGAGGTCACAAGGTCAGAAAACGAGTAACATTTCTACATAGAATTTGAAATTTCTACGACGGTATTTGAAGGTCGTCGAGGTAAATTCTTGGCGGCAATGACTGAAATAGTCAGGGCGTCGTATTGGCGACTAGTTGGTTACACCCCCTGATGGTAAGTCATTGTGGGGGTGGTCAAAAATCAAGTCACAATAATTAAGGAGACAAAAAACTCCCTCCACACTCGGTTTCTAGTGTCACTACCGCACAAAATCGTACCCACGTCCCCCTCCTGGGTGATTTGACATCGTAAGTGACCCCATGGCGACAGGGGGTGTGGCCATCAGCGCTTCTTCCAAGGACATGCCCAAGCACGGCATGCGACATATCATTTTTCTCAGCTCGCCAAGGGGATTGCAGTGACACAATTCAAATTTTAAAAAACCACACCCCCTGTGGGTGTGGTCATCGACCTCCGATGAATTTTGCCAAACCATGGCATGCGACATATCATTTTTCTCATCTCGTCAAGGGGATCGCAGTGACATAATTAGAATTTTTAAAAACCACACCCCTGGTGGGTGTGGTCAGCGATTCCTGTAGAATCTTGCCAACACATGGCATGCAGTGCAGCATATCATTTTTCTCCGCTCCAATAGGTGAATGCGGAGGAATAATTCGAATGTTAAACACCACATCTCCTGTGGGTGTGGTCATTTTCGACTTTTCGAATTAAATTAAACCATGTCGTGTGCCATATCATTTTACACAGCTGAATAAGTGGATCTGAAGTGAAATATAGAAATGCAGAAACTAGACCTCCAGTAGGTGTGGTTATCATCGAATTTTCAAGTTGATCGAAACCACGTCGTGTGATTATTTCATACAAATTCTTGGGAAATCTTGAATATTTTGATATGCATCACAGGGTTCTAAATTTTAATCACTATGGAAGAGAATTTCAGAACATGTGCCTGTCAGATTTCGATGCCCTTTGGATATGCTGTAGTACCACTGATTCAGATCCACTGATTCAGCTGTATAAAATGATATGGCACACGACATGGTTTAATTTAGTTCGAAAAGTCGAAAATGACCACACCCACAGGGGGTGTGGTGTTTAAAATTCGAATTATTCCTCCGCATTCACCTATTGGAGCGGAGAAAATGATATACTGCACTGCATGCCATGTGTTGGCAAGATTCTACAGGAATCGCTGACCACACCCACCGGGGGTGTGGTTTTTAAAAATTCTAATTATGTCACTGCGATCCCCTTGACGAGATGAGAAAAATGATATGTCGCATGCCATGGTTTGGCAAAATTCATCGGAGGTCGATGACCACACCCACAGGGGGTGTGGTTTTTTAAAATTTGAATTGTGTCACTGCAATCCCCTTGGCGAGCTGAGAAAAATGATATGTCGCATGCCGTGCTTGGGCATGTCCTTGGAAGAAGCGCTGATGGCCACACCCCCTGTCGCCATGGGGTCACTTACGATGTCAAATCACCCAGGAGGGGGACGTGGGTACGATTTTGTGCGGTAGTGACACTAGAAACCGAGTGTGGAGGGAGTTTTTTGTCTCCTTAATTATTGTGACTTGATTTTTGACCACCCCCACAATGACTTACCATCAGGGGGTGTAACCAACTAGTCGCCAATACGACGCCCTGACTATTTCAGTCATTGCCGCCAAGAATTTACCTCGACGACCTTCAAATACCGTCGTAGAAATTTCAAATTCTATGTAGAAATGTTACTCGTTTTCTGACCTTGTGACCTCGATAACGAGGGGGTGGGGCCGAATTTCAAAAATCCGGAATTATATATTTCGCGCAAGGGTTCAGTGTTTCCAAAACGGGCGGAGTTTTGAAAATCGGTCAAGAACTGACCGTACCGTGAATTTTCAAACTCTACATGGTATTGCTTATGGCGAGGTCGGCCATTTAGCCTCCCGAGAATTCCGTAGCTCAGTACTTTCTGGATCGACCATAGTCTTATCCGCCATAAACATCATTGCGATGTAAATAAGTGACATCCTCAAGCTATCTCACGAAGATCTTCTGATCATTTCAGAAAATTCATTTATGTATTCTCAAAAGATAGCGCATACACATCCTCAAAACATCTTCATAACATCATTTCGTGCTGTACGGCTGCACTACATAAGTTATCCTCCAGACATCCCTAAATCATCACCAAGCACCATTCTTCCGCCATTATTTTGTTCCAGTCTTTCGATTTATTTACTTTGGACTTGCAGTTTTCCTTCCAAGCAGAGAGTTTAATAATTAAATTTTAAACTTATCAATCCAAATTACAGCCAATAATTCATCAATTAATTATTAGCTCGCCCTGCGTAGCAGAGGAGCTATTGAATTCCTCTTGTCCGTCCGTCTGTCTGTCCGTCTGTCTGTCCGTCTGTCTGTCCGTCTGTCTGTCCGTCTGTCTGTCCGTCTGTCTGTCCGTCTGTCTGTCCGTCTGTCTGTCCGTCTGTCTGTCTGTTAACGACTCTTTTGCATCAATTCATGCTAATTAGAGCCAGTTATTGGCATTCCTGACCGACTTATTAGCACCACTGATATCGAACAATCGGAGACTCGAAATGGTGCGAAACAATTGAGAAAATAGATGCTAAACGCACCAAAAGTGCAGAAGAACCGTCAGAAACACCTATGATTTTGACGTCAAATTTTTTAAGGTTTTATGTCAAAATCATGGTTTCTCTTCCCTCGTGTATTTTGCACCATTGGTGCAAAATTATATCCCAATTACATATATCTTTGTTCCGCATATTCTGCACCATTGATGTAAAATTTTGCCAAAATTGCGTATTCATTTTCTCCGCATATTCTGTACCATTGGTATAAAATTATACCAAAATGGTTATTACAGGGTGAGCTACTTCTACCGTTACAACGGTTTATTAGCTCGCCCTGCGTAGCAGAGGAGCTATTGAATTCCTCTTGTCCGTCCGTCTGTCTGTCTGTCTGTCCGTCTGTCTGTCTGTCTTTTGCATCAATTGATGCTAATTACTGCGACTTATTCACGTTCGTGACAGACTTAATAGCACCACTGGTATCGAACAAGCGGCGACTCAAAATGGTGCCAAACAATTGATGGAATAGGTGAAAAACGCACAAAAAGTGCAGAAGAACCGAAAGAAATGACTATAATTTTTACTATGAATTTGCCAATATTTCATGTCAAAATTACTGTTTGTTTTCCTTCATTTATTTTCCACCATCGGCGCAAAATTATGTCACAATTATGTATATATTTTTTCCGCTTGTTCTGCACCATTAATGCAAACTTATACCAAAATTGCATATCAATTTTATTCGTCTATTCTGCACCATTGGTGGACAATTATGTCAAAATAATTCTCACAGGGTGAGCTACTTCCACCGTTACAACGGTTACAAGCGGCGACTCAAAATGGTGCCAAACAATTGATGGAATAGGTGAAAAACGCACAAAAAGTGCAGAAGAACCGAAAGAAACACCTATGACTTTTGACGTCAAGTTTTTTCATGTTTTTATGTTACTCACCAAAAGTGCAGAGTATCTGGATACAATTTGTCTCCCTTATTTACCAAGAAAAAGTCGAAATTATGTCAATTTTATGGATCTATATTCCCCGCTTATTTTTCACTATTGATGCAAAATTATATCAAAAACATGCATTTATTTTCAAATCATTGCAAAGTTATACACAACACCAACTGGGTTTCGGCTCTCTTTGGGTGGAATTCAATATACGTTAGGCAATGCTTAGGCAAGAGAAATTTGCCTAAGCAAATTTTATTTGTATTCAATATTTGTTGCTTAGGCAAAATTCTAAGCAAGTGCTGAGCAAAAAATTTATGAATTTCTGTATTCAATATGCACAAATTCCTAAATTTTTTGCCTAAAGTTATTCCAGCTCGGAGGTGGAATAACGACTTGCGTAACTTTAATTTAGTTCAAAAAAATATTTATTTCTTTAAAAATGGCCATTCCATTATTTGTCCTGAACAATGAGCGCAATCGGGTTTATAAACAACGTCGACTCCTTGAAAGTCTCTCCGAATTTGAAATAAGGAAACATACTGGTTTGCCTTGGTGGGGAGCTCGAGAGCTTATTGAGTGGATTGAACCGGAAGTTGAACCACTGGCACGGAGAAACTACGCGACACCGGCGGAGACGAAAATTCTTACAACATTGGGTTTTTTTCGATCTGGGTCATTCCAATGGATGCTAGGAACTGTTTCCGGAACTTCCCAGCCTTCGTGCAGCCGAATAATTGCGGAGGTACGCTTAAAAAATGGTCTTTAATATGTTGCAGTTTGAACTTTCAAAATTTATTTCGAACACGGTCAGGTGTCATCTACTCTGCAGGGTCATGCAAATGAAATGATCAGATTCCCAGCAAGTGTGGATGAACGAAATATCGTGTCAAACGCATTTTATCAGGTCGCAGGTCTACCGAACGTGATTGGCATTGTTGACGGAAGCCACGTTCTTATAAAGGCTCCAACTGACCACGGCGGAGTTTACATTAACAGAAAACAGCGTCATTCCATTAACGTACAGATAATATGCAATCACCAGGATAAAATAACTGATATCGTAGCGAAATATCCTGGTAGCAGCCATGATAGCTTCATTATGAGGAACAGTGCGATTTGTCATCGGTTTCAGCGAGGAGAATTCGGTAACAACGTTTTGATAGGTAAATTATATAACAAATACATTTAAAACAATTAATTAATTAAAAATTAAAGGTTGAAAATTAATTAAAAATTAAAATTAAAGGCGACAGTGGTTATTTTCGTGCACCATACTTGGCCATTCCGTTTTCGAGGAGAGCGGCATTATCAGTCGAGCAGCAATTATTTAATACCGCATTGACAAAAACTAGAAGCAAAGTTGAACGATGCATCGGATTGTGGAAATGCAGATTCAGATCAATGCATAAGTTTGTAATTCTTTCATTCATACGTGATCGTATTTTGATTTAATTTTCCGTTAACTAATAGATCGGGAGGCGACTTATGCTACGAGCCAGCAAAAGTTTGCAAATTGATCACTGCCAGCGTCGTTTTGCATAATTACTGTGTAAATTTCGGAATTCCCTTGTTGGATGAAGATGAGCATCAGTTAGAACTTATTATTCACGGTCTGGCTGAAGATGAGTTGGATTAGCCTAATTAGTTTAGTGGTGGTTTTAAGTAAGTTTTATACTAGTGTACACATGTGAAAATTTACGTATTTGTTATTCGTGTATTTAATCTTGGACCAAATTTTAAGTACATACAAAGTAAAACCTGAAAAACAATTTCTCATATTAACGCAAACAAAACTATTGATAAGTCTTCTGCATTTCGAGTTATTTATGTGATGACTCAAATGAGAATGTGAGCGGTGGTGGGTTTGAATTGCAAGTCGGCCAAATCCCTGAAATAACGTCGAACAACAACAGGGTCGTCCAAGAGGAAGTAGTTATCGCCGTGTTGGATAAGATTTTACAGAATATGTCTCTCGATAAGTTCAATTAATAGTTAAACTAATTAAATTAACAGCTCTTTACTATCCTGACCGGGTGCTGACTTTCCCAATTTACTATTTTATGAATCTATGTGTCGCGCTATTACCGCACTGCAATCCTGTCACCGACTTAAAGGACCCGATCACATCCATCGAATCTCATTGTTCTGGTAGGAATGCAATCACCGGCTCATGGATGGTAGCAGTGAATATTTGCAGAATTTAACCATGTTCAGGATGATGGTTTTGAAATAGAATTCTGTAAAGGAAAGTGTAATTTTGCAATGAATTGTAATTACATACAACGTAAAACTTGAAATACAATTGCTCATATTAACAAAAATAACTGAACACGAAATTAATTGAATAGAAATTTGATGATTAATTCAAATGCAGCTGTTCACATCTGAAGAACGAACACATTGACCATCTGTTAATTGGACCACATAGTTCGGGAATTGGGACGATTCAAATTTCTTCGCTTGAGTTTCAATTTTTCTTCCTCAATATTGTTTCGTTGCTGCATGAGATCACCAATACGCTTCAGTTCCTTAACTTGAGTTTCCAGTAAGGTAACTTGACGTGTTTGCAGCTGGTACAACGTGGTCTCGGGAAGCTTGCGTTTTGTGGGGCGAGGAGACTCATTTATTGACGGGTCTTCTTCACTTCGAGAAGATGGAGTGCATTGTGGGACGTGATTTCGGGCGGTAGTTGTCTTCATCGTAGGTTTGTCTGTAAAACGAGTCACAAACTTTAGTATACAACTAATCATGTCAGTCAGTTTTAAGCCTCACCACTGGAATCGAATCCTCCAAAAATTCCTTCGACTGATACCGTAGGGAGAGTCGACAAAATTTTTTCCTGTAGGTCGTCGAGTTGGGACAACGCACTTTCACCGCCACCGGTCTCATTCAGCTCTCGTTTATTTGCGGCCCCTTTAGCCTTGACCTCGCTCTTAAGCTGTTGGTACTTCTTCTTAATTTCAGACAGCTTTCTTCCGCCAGGAACCACACCCAATGCGTTGACCTTGAGAAGGACTCGCCCCCATGCTTCTGATTGAATTTCAGGAGTCATTTTCGTGGTGAATTGGCCAAAAAGTAACGAAAGATTTGCAACAATTTCATCAACTAGCACCTCCTTTTCCAGAGAAGTGAAATTTGGACTCCTTTTGGCACCTTCGGTCTCTAAAAAATTATCAATCACATTAATTAAGACAATTAATGTGACTTTAAATTTATAATTTAGCTAAGTTTATGGAAAAGTGGTCACTTACTTGTGATATTACCCGTTAAAGTGGTCAACGCCATTTCGAAATGCAATGGAATGATCGAAAATGACCATAAAAACTTCAATAATTAGCCAGTCAAAATTATTGTAGGGAATGTGGTGTTGATGGTTTAACCGAGATGAAATAAGATGCAAGCAGCCGACCGTCATAATTTTTCATGATTTTTTTCAGTTCACACGAGGTCACAGATTTTCGTTGCTTAGCCGTTGCTTAGAATTTGCGTAAGTTTAAGCATTCTTAAACTTACGCATGCCTAAGTCGACTGTATATTGAATACCAAATTTTGCTCAGCAAAAACCTTGCTGAGCATGTGCTTATCTACGCAAATGCTTATGATAGCGTATATTGAATTCCACCCTTTAAGCCCAAGACAGGTCGCTACTCCCGTTCATCAGGTAACCAGCAGGTTACGACCCAGTGCGATTTCTATTTATGAACCCATGACATCTTACATCGCATCTGGGCCCTGGTAATGTATACTTCAACATTACCAGAGCAATTTGATGAACCCAGGGTATGATAGAGATGCATATGAACCAGAGGTATGATAGGGCATAGGAACCAAGGGTATGATAGGGATGCATATGAGCCAGCCGCCATTAGATGCCACTACCTGTCCCAGTCAGTATCTCATTTGGGAAATAATTTCCTTGTACTTAACTCCGACCAGGAGTGCACTCAAATGAGACACTATTAATGACTTGGGACACCCTAATCTCGATGACTTCATTGCAAAAATGCAATAAAATACACCTACCTTTTTTAGACGAACTTGGGTAACTTTGAACCTTGACGTATCGTTTGAATCTGAAAAAATCAATTAGTGAACCAATCAAATAACTTGGATATTCCGATTGAACCAATGAAAGAAAGATGAAGATCTGAAAACTGAAAAATACATATATGACACTAAAATTAAATAAGGGCTGGTAGTAGCATACTTTGGCCGCAGTACGATAATACGTTAAAATTATTGAGGGGATGATGAGGTGATGCAAATAATTTTATTGTCATTTTTAATTACCAGAACAATTTTCAATGATTATGATAAAGATGCTTATGAATTTGTACTGTTTTATGAGCTAGTTCTGGTAATGTGTGTTTCAACATTACCAGAACAATTTGCAATGATTATGATAAAGATACATATGAATTTGTATTATTTTATGAGCTAGTTCTGGTAATGTGTGTTTCAACATTACCAGAACAATTTTCAATGATTATGATAAACATGCATATGAACAGCGTGTTTCAGTGCTAGCAGATAGTTAGTTTTGGAGGTGGAATTATATCGATTTGTAGAGGAAAATGTATCCATCGCCAACGCAGTGCTTAGAAATGTAGACTTCGTCATCATCATAGATTATCCAATCATTCCCGCGCCTAAAATTCACAACATAATGGCCTGAATTTAAGGAATCCCCCAAATGACTAACTATAAGCGTCAAGGCGTAAGCATTATCTGAGCCGGGCAACACAAGAATATCCGATGCAAATGACTTTTCTAGAATTTTTGTGCCTCGATTTGTGAAAATTTTTAGATTAACGAACAAAGCCCGTGGTGCCAATACTAATTTGGAATTGAAATTTGCTAATCCTGCCGATTTGCATGTCTCACAGAGATATTCTTGTTCCCCGATGAAATGATGATGCAATCCTGTAATTCGTTGCTGTCCTTCCGATCGACAGAGAAGTACATGATTCGTTTCTCGTGCTTTTAATCCCACAAGAACACGTAACTTCGGTTACTAGCGTCGCAACATATTCTTCCAGAGACATCCCTGAGTTGCTTAAGTTCTGTAGTAGGTCAAGAAGAAATAGATGAGGGTCATCCTGCATTCCAATTGGATATGAAGGCATGCATGCAACTAACTCTTGCCTAGTAGTTCTTAGTTGACAAAGTGGAACTGGGGTGAGTAACGCGTGAAAGAAACCTCTTAGACAAAGAGATACAGACTCATATATTAAGTGAAGAATTGCGTTAATATAGCACGTGTTTCCTAAATTTGGAATACCGAGATGAATTGAAAGTGATTGCTCGCAAAGTACATTGTCTGCAGATAAATCTTCGTTATCTATTTGTACGTCCATTTCCGACTGTTCAGTATTGTGCCCTATACCACTTTCGCTCAAACTTACTTCCATTGGTTCTGCTTCTTGTGGACAACTTTCTGATTCCACATGTGATGGCAATATATGTATGTCATCTGGCCATGTCACACAAATTGGCTTATGGTAGCTGAAATAACTTTCATAGAAAAAAGCGGACACACCAAATACATTTGAAAAACATGCATCGATACATGTATTTCCGTCGGTACTATTTTCGGAGGGAGTTATTAATCTGAAGCCCATTTTGGTGAAAATTTGCCTCATTTGGAATCCATCTTTGGTCATGAAATTTAGATTAAAGTCACCAAAGACGATCATCGGGGTGCCTTTTTTGCCACTCAAAAGATCTGAGACGTCCTTTAAAAAAGCTGTCGCACTATACTGGGGACTACGGTATAACACACAAATCCTAACATTTTTCTGTGCCCATTGAACTAGTTGTAAATGTTCACTAAAAATCAAATTTATTTGTGACAATTTACAAGCTGATATGCTTGAACAGTGTGAGTTACTTTTAAACACCAGTGTTCCAATAGATGACTGGATAGTTGGCGAGTCAATTCGATGAAAAACCGAAAATCCAGGAAGCTCAACTACATCTGAAATCAAAGTCCGGGTTTCACAAAAACAGAGCACATCGGATACCGTGTAGTTTCTGTCAGCAAGAATGTCTTCGTAGTGTGCTCGGAAAGATTGAATATTGTGGATTACAATTCTATTGGGCTCGTCTTGGTCCGGTAAATATCTCAATGAATATGGGAATGGTAATTTACGCAATCTGGAGAGCTCTAAAGGCACAAGATGTCTTAAAGGGTCGATTGGACGTGGTGCATTAAAAGTCCCGCCAATATATAGTCCTGACAAAGTAGGTGCACGACTCATGGCTACGTACATTGCATCCCGTCTTAGTCCTCGGGATGGAATATTAGCAACGGTATTCGGAATTGACAGGCTTTGCGATTTATGAATAGAAATGGCATTAGCAGCCACCAACGGAATTTGACGTCGAACAATTTGCATTCCTTGATAATGCCCAAAACTATTCAAGGGTTTGGTTTCTGAGAAGATTGGGGTCCAATGCAACGGAATTCCTAATTTTTTTAGCAATGCTAGATTGTTCGACCTTGCAAGTTGTCCTACCAATTCCTCCGAGAATTCCATAAATACAAGTTTAACAGCTTTCCCCCCATTTGTTAATGGCTTTTCCACTACCCCCCTTAGTTTACCTGTAGCACCATTAAACAACCCATCACTTACGTCGATGTTTGTTGTAATCATATAACGAAGGCCGACTCTTAAAGCAACATGATATGGCATACCCCCGGTTTGTTGCAGAGTTAAATGTTCGGCTGACTCTAACATCTAGCGAAAAATCGTCATGCTATACTTTAAATAATTCCCAGTGGAGACTTCGTCGTACTACATACATACATCAGAGTGAGGGTTTGCCCCAGTCATACTGCATTTTAATTAACCTGGTCACAGTACAATTTGATTTCCCCCTGTGGGAGTAGTTGAATTGCTAATTACTTAAATTCCCGTCGTGTGGGAGTAACTGCATAGCTAACTATTTATATTCCCGCGCTTCACGCTCCCGTTCAGTTCCATAAACCCCAACTTCTATAATTAACGTCAAACTATTGACGGATTC